ACAGATGTTCTTGACACAATGGAATATGTATGAATTGTAATAAGAGCTGTCTAAGAGCCCCAATTTAAAAAAAGATATCAAATACTATACTCAACATATCTCAGCTTCATGTAAACTTTTACAAACTTTTATAATACTCTAGCAAATAATTGAAGCAAGAAAATAGTATCAGTTCTAATTCTATACTTAGCTTAAAAAAAACTAAAATTCTACTTCTGGTATTGGTGAACCAAGCATATGAGACTAATGCTTCTGGTGAGGAAAACTAGAATAGCTGAATAAACCAGGAAAAACAGAGGCTTGAAAGTGCCAGAAATAAGATGGCAGTGAAGAAATACTGGGCCACATGAGAGCAGAGGCCCAGAAAGGTAAACCTGCTCTCTGGGGTTGATGTCTGCCTGGCGTCACGTGCTATAGTGGGTGTTTCTGAGGCTTTTGTGAGTTTTCCAGGGCTAAGGTGACAAAGTTTGGTAACTAAAACCTGTGGTGGTGGGTGGGAGAAAAGATCTAGTGAAACCTCCTGCTTTGGATTGATGCACCAAATAATCGAACCCTATGAGTTAAGTTCATGAAGGAGTACAACAAAAATCACCAACAGCTAAAACTAGATGAAAATAACTCTACATTTCCAGAAAAATAAATAAATTTTCTTTGTTAGATGATAGCACTATTCTAAACCTCAAATTATTTTCATGAACAGGTCTATAAACATAAAACTTTAGAAAATATAGATATGTGAGTAACAATAGAACAAAAAGATAACTGAAGTAACAGAATCAAACCCATAATGGCTCCATAAATGAGCTACCAGGATCAATTAATTAGGATTATCAGGCTTCAATAATACTTATTAAAACAAAACAAAATAAAAAATAAGATCAAGAATTTCAGAAAAGACAGGAAATTGTAACCAGCCAAATGCAAATACAAACTAAAAAGATGTGCTAACAAAAAAATTAAGAAACAAACAAAAGGTTTAATAAATTACAAAGCTGAAGATAAAATTAGTGAACTGGAAGATGGGTCAGAGGAAAATAATCAGAATGAAGCACAGAGAAACTAAAATAATAAAATATAGAAAAGAGAACTAGAGAATTACAGAATTAAGTGAAAAAGTCTAACAGGACTTTTACAAGAGGAAGGAGAAAAGAAGCAAAAATATTTCAAGAAAAATGGCAGATAACTTGTCTAAAATTGATGAAACAACAAAGTCAACTGGTGGATCAAGAAACCCCTAAAGAGATCAAGCAAGACAAACAAAAAGGAAAATGTTTAAAATCTGCCAAAATCCTTCCAAGAAAATTTGCAAAGATAGTCAGAAGAAAAAGGCAGATAGCTCCCAGGGAAAGAGATAGGGCTTTCTACTCCTGTGAAGATTTAAATTTGATTACGGCAGACCTGTACTTAGGTTAAAATGTAATATCATGTGATCGCCCTCTTAACCCATCTGAAAGTTGTTTCAGTTTTAAAAAAGAAAAAAGTGCAGCAGAAATACACATGGATTAAGCCTCTGGTAAATCCCCAGGGACCATAGAACAGGGATGTGAATAGCTTAGCTATCATGTAGAATACATTGGAAAGTGGATTATTGCTGATGCAGTTAGATTAAAAGTTAACATCTTATCATTTGATCTCCCTTCTGATCCATTTTAAATTTGTTCTAGTTTTTCATATTTCTGTTTTCTTTTTGACTGAGATTTTCTTCTGTTTTACTTTGTCATTTATTTTTAAAATGACTTTCTGTACATGAAATCCAGAGTAGGTAAGTGTATAGAGACAGTAACTGGATTAATTTTTTTCTTGGGGCTATGGCGGGGAGGTTGGGGGAAATGGAGCGATAATAACAATGAGTACAAGAACAAAGAAAATGTTTTCAAACTGATTGCAGTGATGATTCTACAACTCTTATTGATGTGATTGAAATATTAAATTGTATAATATGTGAATTATATGCCAATAAAACTGTTAAGAAAAAAAAAAGAGTAACACCTAAAATGTCAG